TTTTTTTTTTTTTTTTTTTTTTTTTCACCCGACTCTACCTAAATTCTTGTCCCACGCTACTTGTAATAGTCTATATATATAGAAGTGGGGTCGGGGCGGGAACGGAGAATGTCCCTGGTTTTGTTAGATAATATGTATTCTATCTCCTTCTCGAGTTTAAACGAGGATTTTCTGACCCATGGGTTAAATGGACATCTCTAATCTGATGGGTATTTATGTCATTTAACACGGAAGTGTAAATGTTTAGGATTTAGCTCACAAATAAAGAACAAAGATGCTATACGTTTTCCTAAGAATTTTGCTCGAAAAAGGGTTATTCCACGACTCACCAAAGAAGGTATTGTAACAGCTTAATACAAAAGTTTTAAGGGCACTTTATGTGCCCAACTAAATTTAGAATCTAAGAATTGGAAGGTGTAATTTTCCATTGAGAATTTTAAGATATAGTTTTATTGGAATATTTAATTTCCTATTCTTTTTTATTTGGACTTATGCATATTTTGAGGTATAACAAACGTTCCATTGCTTATCATATGATGTTGCATGTGATAATTTTTTTAAATAATAATAATAATAATATTAAGTAAAATATTTGATTTATTAGTCGAGAAAAAGAGACCTAACTAGATTCCCAAACCATTTGTAACGGCCTTAGTCGATCTAGTGGAAACTCTTCTCGACCTTCTGTTGACTACCCAATTTCCTATACCTCAAGAGAATCGAGCCGATCGAGTGCCAACGATTTTGAACTTAAATTTAGTTAGCATCTCGTAATCTCGACTAACTGTAAATTCTTTCTTTCTCTTCGAACTTAACCATTTGGGAATCTCTAATTTCTCCGGTTTTTTTAAAATGATAATTGATATTTTATCCATCAATTAGCCTCGTAACCGCCCAAGCTCACAACTAGCCGATATTGTCCGATTCAGCCAGTTACGTATCTTCGTCGCCCTATTTGAAATCTCATATGCAATGTTTCTAATAATTGTTATTATTATACAATATCTCGCTCCAATACGTATCACCGTAAACCCAAAATATCAAATCCATCAATATTCGAATATTATTTAACAAAATTTTTAATTATCCCATAAATAGTAAAATTTAATATCTCAGGACTCTTTATCTTTACCCACCAGTAGTTGAAAAAGATACAACGAAACCCAATATAGCTATGACGTGTCATCTAAACTTGATTTGAAATGTATCGGGTTGGTTCAAATTCATCTACTTTCCACTTAAACACGCATACAATTCATTTATCATTTCACTCCAACTATTCTCTACGCAAAACTAACCTAAATTTAAACAATTTAAAAGTAGCATAAAACGACAAAAATAAACAGGAAAATTGTGAAGAAAGAAGTGCTTTTGTGGTGTAATGACATTATTATTATTATTTTCTTTAAATTTTTTTAAATTAAAAAAAAAAAAAAGTTGTGTTCTTAATTTCTTGACCAGCTGAATTACGTGTTCAATCAAGTCCACATGCATCCATGGGCTTCTATAAATAAGTGTGCTTTGTTTCTGCAGCCAGATTGGCAGTGGAAAGGGGTGATATAAAGAGAGAATTATTATTATTATTATTATTTAATAAATAATAAATAATAATAATAATTAAATAATTAATGGGGGCAGAATGGAGGAGCTGTTATTTGGACATAATTTTGGTTCCTTTAGGGTTTTTGATGAGCGCTGGATATCATGCATGGCTTTGGCATAGAGTTCGGACTCAGCCTTTCACTACCCTCATTGGTATCAACACTAATGCTCGTCGTTTTTGGATCGCTGCCATTTTACAGGTCAAATTTATACGTTCTATCGTGTAAGAATTATGTTTAAATAAATATTTTGAATGATTTTGAATTCTATTATCGCTCGAACATATTATGATAATAAAGCATAATTTCAAATTGTTTGGAATTTGAATATAATCGAGGGAAGATTTGAAGCTTTATACTTTGTGAATATATTTAGCTGGTTGAATTATGCTCGGGATGACGGTTGGTGTAACTTTAGCTACGAAAGTCGAATTTTAGATCGGGTATTTGAATTTCTAATTATTTTATTGACAGGATAATGAGAAGAAAAACATCCTGGCCGTCCAAACCCTAAGGAACACGATAATGGGATGCACCCTAATGGCCACCACTTCGATTCTGCTCTGTATGGGGCTAGCGGCGGTATTGAGCAGCACATACAGTATAAAAAAGCCTCTAAACGACGCCGTTTATGGGGCCCATGGTGATTTCATGTTGGCTCTTAAATACGTGACTTTGCTCACACTATTCCTCTTCTCCTTCTTCTGTCATTCACTCTCCATCAGGTTCATAAATCAAGCCAATATTCTGATCAACATACCGCCCGGCGCCGCCGCCGTCACCTCCGGTTACATCTCCGATCTCCTCGACAAAGGCTTTATTCTCAACACCGTCGGCAACCGCCTCTTCTACGCTGCCCTGCCGATGCTCCTCTGGATTTTTGGCCCTGTTTTGGTCTTCGTTTGCTCTGTTTCCATGGTTCCTGTGCTTTATAATCTCGACTTTGTTTGCTCCGACGCTATCGGAAAACGGAAAACGCTCGCCGCCGGTGACGCTAATGGCGAGCTCAGTAATGTTTAGAGCTTCGAACAATGGTTGATTTGGTCGGTTTCTCTGTATGGATGTGATATTTGTGTGTAAATTGATCGGTGTTTGTGTCCGTAGGTTTTGAAACTGACTTTTAAATGGGAATAATTGAAATTCAAATGTCTCTAATTTCTCACCTCTAAAATAGACTTTTTTTTTTGTTTGTGTTAATTTACGATGATGGGGAGGTGTGTATTCCCTCGTAAAAAAAAATATAAATTAATTAAATATTGAGAATAAAATAAAATATACTATAACTACGTAATTAATATATTCTTTAAATATTATATTTCAACTCATTACGAAGAAATGTGTAAAGAATTTTTTTTATACTAATTATTTTTAATATAATTATTTATGCTTTAATACTTTACAATAATTATGCTCTTTCTTTTCCTAAATTACATGATACACGAAATAATGCTTAATGAGTGAGCAAAAAGAAAAAAAAAAAAAAATTAGCCTTGCTTTTAAAAAAACAGTCAAAAGTTTAATGGCCTAACTCTTTTTTAAAAAATTAAGAAAATAAATTTTCCATCATTCATTTGGACACTGTTTTGAAACAAGGTGAAAATTGATAAAATGCCTAATAAATAATTTACCTAAATTAGTTAAGGTACGTTTTAATCTATCTAAGCTAGAAGTACATGCCCTCTATTAATTTTAGCATTTTGATCCGTTCAAATGGTCTAATCAAGAGAAAATTTATAGTAAACCCCACAAATGGCCAACAATAAATGAAAAGCACGGTACTCGGTTTCTTCCTTTTGAAACTATGGTACTAATAAATCAGAGTGGTGTAGCGGAAGCGTGGTGGGCCCATAACCCACAGGTCCCAAGATCAAAACTTGGCTCTGATATCTACTTTTTGAATGATCTAAATTAGTTAATGTATGGAGGTACATACCTTCTATTAAGTTTAGTATTTTGATCGGTTCAAATGGTCTAATCTCAAGAGAAAATTTATAGTAAACCCTATAAATGGCCAACAATAAAAAACACAATACTCCTTCTTTTTGAAACCATACTCGACTTCTTCTTTTTGAAACTATAGTACCAACAAATCAGAGTGGCGCAGCGGAAGCGTGGTGGGCCCATAACCCATAGGTCCCAAGATCGAAATGTATTTCAAATGGTCGCGGAAACGGGTGGACCCGTAACCCACATATCTCCACTCATATGATGTATCCATACTCTGTCACAAACCTTATCCCTTTCTTTCTCTTTCAAATCAGAAAGCATTTCCATTTGTGTCTCACAGAATTAGGATAACAAAAACAAAGACATCTCGTACCTCAATACCTTAAAGGTGTGAGATCCCACGAGCTCAAATCTTTGACCGCCGACCCCAAATAATATTGGTTCTTTTTCATGGTTTCTGAATTGAACAAGAGGAAAGCATAGGAATATGATAAATAATGTCATTAAAGTTAGCAAAATAGATAATTAATATAGGGTTCCTGAATTTCATCTTATCGACTCATCAGTATCGTTACATTTGAGTGCATTATACATAATTGTTTGATATTCATAAGAGTTTGCTATGCTATAATAACTTGTAGACTATGATTTTGATAAGTGTTACATCAAAGGTTATGAGTTGTATAAGTATGGAAAATTTTGTTCTTTCATCCTCAGTTAATCAAAGGAGCTTCCACTCCACCGTGCTGTCCAGAAATCCCGAGCGCCAAAAATTCTGCTGGCAACGGGATATTCAACTCGGAACAAACGAGCTGAATTATGCTGGCAGTGACATCCCCAATAGACATTTTGTTGAGGGTCACGGACATGGCAAACCTGTGTTCTATGTTACAAAAACCTGTGGATCCACCCATTCCTGAATGCCCAAACCCAATAAAAGAACCTTCCTTTGATCTCAACCTTGAGAATCCTAACCCAAACTTGCCATTTGGAATGGTCAAATTCTCGTATTTTCCTATACCCAAAAAGGCATCATGAATTCTGGGGTCTTTGTACATTTTGCCTACAAACTTTGGTCCAACTCTTGTGCTGGGATCATTGGTAGGGAGCCTAGTGTAACCACTATTGCTGAAGATACTATTATTCTCAGCTGTTTCGGGGGAACTCGAGTTCTTTTCGTGGTTGTTATTTACGTTGGTACGACTGTCCTTACTTTTGGCAGCTTTCTGCTTCTTAGGATTCTCGACAGAAAATTTAGGGATGTGAGGATGGCTTCCGAGAGGTGGTTGGGATGATGAGGAATGTGGTGGCGGTATCACGCCTCCATCGGCCAGGGCTGCGTAATAACGTGCCAGTGCACGAGCAGAGCAATGTCCATTAGCAGCTGGTATAATGGCACGGCGAGTATTGAGCATGTTAAATAGAGGTGTCAAAGTTGTGGCAAGCTGGGCAATCATGGCTGGCTGGAAGGTGGAGGGTAGTTCAGGACGATTGATCCCAGTGAACTTTTGAAGATCATCAAGATTTGGTGTTAGTGTTGCAAGACGAGATTCAACTCCTGGAAACAAGCAAAGAACAATAAAAAAGCTCTGCAACAGTTTATCTCTTAACTGGTAGAAATTATGGTTAAGAATGCAATAGATTGAGAGGATGCAGTAAAGGATTACCAGGAGGGATTCCGATGTACAGCTCGCCTTCTACGTGGAGTGGGTAAACTAATGCTTCTTCGAGAATCTCCTGGAATTTCTTCCCCGTTGCGTGCTGTTTCGTTTAAGCAGATTAAAACCAATGAGACGAAAAATAAGCTATCTTAGGCTATTGTGAGCTCTGATCAGATTAAAACCAATGGTTAATATGTTGAGGGATGAGTGATAACCAAGCACCACAAATATTGTCTCCTGGCTGATCAATGTGTTATACTTTCTTTACCATACAATTAACCAACGCGAAGAACGATAAAATATGGATCGTAATTTATCCACAAGATGTACAAAACGAGACAGGGAATAGAATGTAAATATCCATTAAAACGTGTCAAGAGAATTGGTGAAGGACAGCAATAGATAGGCAAACCCATGACATCGGATGGGAGGAGAACGGAGCATTCTTTATAAGGGTGTGGAAACCTCTCCCTAGCAGACGTAAGCCCGAAAGGGAAAGCCCAAAGAGGACAATATCGGCTAGTGGTGGGCTTGGGCCGTTATAAATAGTATCAGAGCCAGAGATCGAGCGATATGCCATCAAAGACGCTGGGCCTGAAAGGGCGTGGATTGGGGGTCCCACGTTGATTGGAGAAGGGAATGAGTGCCAACGAGGACGCTGGGCCCCGAAGAGGGGTAGATTGTGAGATTCCACGTCGGCTGGGGAGAAGAACAAAGCATTATTTATAAAGGTGTGGAAACCTCTTCCTAGAAGACGCAAGCCCAAAAGGGAAAGCCCAAAGAGGACAATATCGGCTAGTGGTGGGCTTGGGCCGTTACAAATGGTATCAGAGCCAGACACCGGGCGATGTGTCATCAAAGACGTTGGGCCTGAAAGGACACTGGGCCCTGAAGAGGGGTAAATTGTGAGATCCCATATCGGTTGGGAGGAGAATGAAACATTATTTATAAGGGTGTGAACCTCTTCCTAGCAGACGCGTTTTAAAAACCTTGAGGAGAAGCCCGAAAGGGAAAGTCCAAAGAGGACAATATCTCCTCGCGGTGGCTTAGGCCGTTAGATGAAGTATGAAATGATTTTACTAGTTTGAACTCCGATCATTTTCCTTCCCAACTTAGATTCCTCAGCAGATAATAGTCTTGAAATTAGAGTTATACCCCAATAGTTTAATTGAATGAAAGAACGAAGGACATTACCTCAACGATCCCACCACATAGCCAGCCATAGGATAGATAGTGATACAACTGCTCCTGCCCAGGTTCAGTCTCTGGCGTTGATTTAGCCATGCAATTCAAACATTCCTCCCAGTCACAAATTAACAAAGGATTTTCCCTCGCATCGACCGTGGCATTATGCAGACCCGACGTGTGGTTAAGCACGTGATAGACCTGGAAATAAAATCCAATAATAGAAAAAATGTCTTTAAATACACTGCAACAACATATGAAGCAACTTTTCGGGGAGACTATGTGTACCTTTATTATATCTTTACCGTTTGATCCAAAATTCGGCCAAATATTAGAAACATTTTCCTCAAGATTCAGTTTCCTTCAAGATAATTCATAAGAGGGAAAAAAGCAGTTTCAGTAAATGAAGGCACAGCACGGCCTATTAAGGACATAGCGCGTTTTATACGGACTTGAAACCCTCACTTAACTTAATATAAATTCTGGTCTTACCCATTATCAACTAGCCAATGCAACATTCCTGCTGTGATGCCCTTTGTTACTGAGAACACTGGAAAAAGACTATCGGGTTGAACGGGACGAGGATCGTATCTCCCTAGAACGCCAGCAGCAGTATCGATAATGACCTCTCCATCTTTGTAGGCACAGACCTAACAGAATTGTATCATAATTCAATAAGAAGAGAAGAGTGGTAATATAGCATTTATGAGGAATTGAAGGGTGGGATTTAACTGCTATGTACAGTCGATCGTTAGTGTACCAACCTCGTACTCGACTGTTACTTGGCCATAAAATGTTAGCTTAATTAATCAAAAAGGTAAGTATTGAAAATCGAACCGACTTATCTTGCAAATGCAAACGTAAATCAGCAAAAGCATGTTTTCTATCAAGCATTGATATTTACCTACTTGCATGATATATAAACACATATGGAGAGATATATAAACACATATGGAGTGTGAACCTCAGAATAAGAGTAATTGTAACCGCCCAAGCCCAAATCCACAACAAGTAGATATTGTCCTCTTTGGGCTTTCCCTTTCAAGCTTCCCCTCAAGATTTTTAAAACGCATATGCTAGGGAGAGGTTTCTACATCTTTATAAAGAATGCTTCATTCCCCTCTCTAACCGATGTGAAATCTCACAATCAACCCCCCTTCGGGACCCAGTGTCCTCGCTGACACTTATTCCCCTCTCCAAACAATGTGGGATCTCACAATACACCCCCCCTTCGGGGCCCAGCGTCCTCGTTGGTACTTGTTCCTTTCTCCAATCGATGTGGGATCTCACAATCCACCCCCTTTGAGGCTCAACGTTCTCGCCGGCACGTCGCTCGGGTCTGGCTCTAATACCATTTGTAATGCCCAAG